CCAGAAGGTAATTGTTTGCGCGTGTTAAGATTCTTATATCGCGATATTATATGAAAATGTAACAAAAAGGACATGAAAACGAATTAAGAACCGTGTAAAAAGTTACATTACTTTTATAGATAACTGAGAATATATATACATTTGCGCGTCATTGTTCATGAGTACCTTTATACCGAAGCATCACATATTTTTGCTCCCGCCAAATTATATTAAATACACGTAACACGAACGAGATATATAATATACCATTTATGCTAATAATACCCACAATTCATGCATATCGGTAACGTTGGGTAGTGACAATTCAACGGTGTTGGGGCTCTTGAGCCCCCAAAAATGGAGTTACATACACCAGAAAAGTGGGCCGAAGAAATACATTGGATGAAAGGTCTACTCCTACACCTCGTATGTGCCTTCGCATACAGCACATTTTGTTGGAATATGAACTGATTTTTTTCACTTTGCGGTGGGGTGCAATTCAGCGCATTTCATGCAACGGAAATTGTAATTGCAGTATCGCTATGTATGTCCATATTGTTGACATCTTTTGCACTATACAATTTCTCTTTTTTTGTAGGGTGGTTCAATTTGAACAATACAGTTCATTAGTTTCTTTATTTCGTAAACTTCTTTGTTATGTTTCTGTCTTAAATCGATAAAGAATAGCGACAATGGCTGGTGTGTTTTGTTATGCTTGATATTAGATATATTTAATACCTCGTGTCCCATTGCCAAGAACTCTTCCTTCAGTTCGTCCATATTTACTAAGTGATGTATATTGCGTAGTACAACTCTAAATGCCCTGTCCTGCTTGAGTTGGTACGTGTGAAATTAAGCATTTATTGTTTTGAAGTAGTTGATTATTTTTCTGTAGGTCTCCGCATCTTTCGGTAGGATTTTTATATTGTCGTTGTTTGCTTTTAAGCTGTATTGGTCTTTATTGACGACTGTTTCTAATGCATTCGACATAGTTTGTATGTCTAGAATATTTTTGAGAAAGATCGGTGGTGGTGGAGGTATTTTTATAGATGCAGGGCTTTCAGGCATTTCACAATCATTTAATTTTAATGATTCCAGTGGCGTGAATGTGTTTGATGTCGGTACATTGTTCGTCGTGTAAACGGTTTTTTGGTTTACGTTGCGTGCGTCTACTTCTGGACTTCTTTTGTTCTTAGTGTTTGTACTTTTTTGTGATGGTTCCTTTTGACATGCTGGTGGAAGAGTTCTCGTGCAGCTGTTATTTTTTTCTGGATGCGAATCCTTGTCATTCCTTGTCAAAGATTTACGAAAGACTTAATGCCATTTCGATCTAGGTATGACCGATTAAAAACCGGTATACTAGTCGAAAGGCTTTAAACTTTAACTTAGACTAATGCGTGGTAATTTTGTTATAACTCGAATATGAATTTGAATTTTAACAGTTGATCTTGATTGTCTGCTGATAGGTAAACACACACTATGTTTGTATATTTAGGAGCACTGTTACATACGTCTATTCGTTTTGATAGCTAGAGATTGACTGATATTGTAAATAAAAAATACATTTTGGTTAGTCGTATGACTCCACTGTGCTCGTTTCTAGTACGTTTGGTAACGTTTGTTTTGCACGCATATCTATATACGTGGTATGTGTTCAGTTTTCGCGCGTAGTCAACATTCAATATTCTTATATGTAAAGTTAATTATATTCTCATGCGTTATAATTTAAAAAATTAGAATTCATTAAAACACAAAATAACTAAAATATTTTTTAAATGTATTTATATTTCGCGGGTATGACTCCACTTCAACAACGTTGCCAAGTCATCCACGTAGTCCCAATACGTATCCAATAACCTACATATCCTGGACTTTATTGTCAATTATCTTCCTGGAATGTTCGGCATGGTACAAGATTTAGTTCATTATCAGAAAGCTCAGGATTTATACTTTCAGTACCGAGTTTTTAGTTATAGCAATTCTAATTTTTGTAAATAGAAAAGATTATAGTTCCGGTAAGAAATCATAAAACTGCCATAAGAGCTGTATTGAAACCTCAATTTTTGACAAGCTTTTACTTATTTACTTCATCAGCGACCGAGTCTAAAACTTTTTTTGTATGTGTATTTCGTTTTAATAAACATTCTGTATGAATTTTATATAATTATCTAGTCTTTCGAATTTAGCACGAACCACCTTAACTCGTATCACTCGCATATTCGGTGTATACATATATATAATAGTGTTTTCATAAAATGTTTAAATATACGTTTTTACATATTTTCAGTTATAATCAACTACATTTCGTGTCATGTTTAATTCATATTGAACATAAGTAATTATGTAAGAATATACACTTATAATAAAGTTAGAGTTACATAGGCATGAGAATGTTAAATATATTTAAGGCGGTTATTCATTAATCATACAAATCGATACCTTTCCACCACGACACATTTTCCTCTAGCGGAAGCCGAGTCTGCACGTCAGTGTATGCATAAAAGTATTGGTAAATATTTAATTCTATGTCCAGTGATTTCTAGTTGAAAATATTGGTAGAAAGTTCTCAATGATAAAATAAGAACAATAGGATTAAATATCAAAAGTATTACGAAAATTTAATAATTAGTACATTAAGATGACTGATTATGAGTCAGAAGTAAAATATTATACCTAATAAACTCAATGTAATGAAATTAAAACATTAATTGTCTATTAGACTGGAATACATAGGTGTACAATTATATACTAGTTGAGTTTTTCTGTTACTCCATATTAGTAGAATAAAAATGAATAGCATTTTCCTGGAAAAATAGTCACAATGGTTCAGTTTTGGACCCTAGTGTATTTTACTGCAACCAGTACCCCATGTTTTTCTACACTTTTATACATCAAGAAGATAATTAAACAAATGTAGTTGTTAATCATTTTGTACGTCGCAATTTTTTCCATATTATTCATTACATTGTTTTCAATGTAGAAGCATAAATGAAACTACTGTTCAATCATATGTGCATTATAAAGAAATGGTTCAGAACTTTGATCATTTCCTACATTACAATATAATTCATATTACTGATTACATTGTTTTCAATAAAGAAGAATAAATGAATCTATTGTTCAATCATATGTGCATTGTAAAGAAATGGTTCAGTAACTTTGATCATTTCCTACATTACAATATAATTCATATTACTGATTACATTGTTTTCAATAAAGAAGAATAAATGAATCTATTGTTCAATCATATATGCACTACAAGAAATGGTTCAATAACTTTGATCATTTTGTACGTCACAATTTTATCCATATTATTGATTATATTATTTTCAATAAAGAAGAATAAATGAAACTACTGTTAAATCATATCTGCATTATAAAAAATAGTTCAGTATCATTGATAACTTTAATTATATCCATTATTTCTACAGATATATAGAAAAAAGTTTATTCGCAGAAGTTATATGGTATCAGAAGGACTATAACATAGCAGAAATAATTTTATTATAGGTTGAGAAAAAATTAACAGTTTGTGACAAGTTTCACATTTTGTATATAAAATATTTCGCGAATTATTAACTTTTTGCACATAATACTTTAATATTTTATTCCACAATGTTTCAGTATTATTAACACTAGGTTTACGAGCATTTATCGTGTACGTATCTCCACGGCACGCGTCAACGAACCCGCAGATTTTCTTTAAAAAACAACTTATTTTATATAATACACAATTTATGATCTCTGAAATTAATGCATAGCTATAAAGATAGGTATACCACATAGAGAATTTCGAGGTTAGAAAGCATTCGAAATGCGTCAAAATGACGCGTCCCGTAAACCTAGTGTTAAAGTGAAAACACAATTAACCTTGAAAACTATGAAGATCCTCCACTTACGAGAAAATTGTTATTGCTAAGTAATAGTCCTTTCTATACTAAACAACTTCTGTGAATAAACCTTTTTGATATCTCTAAAAATAACGCAGATAATTAAGATGACCGTAAAGTGCGTAAGTGCGTATATACAGCCTACCCCATATGTAGCAAGTAAGGGGAAGGCACGGTTGTGGATATCGCTTTTGAAACAGTATTACAAAACCCTCATAGGTTTCTTCAGAATGGGCCTTGGTAATTGGTTTTCGAGATATTTTCGTCTAAAGTTTTGTATGTGTCAAGTCGTCTTGTTACATAAAACGTGTCACTAAGAAAGTGTCATGGCTAAGACGCGACGGTAGACTATCTACTTACTACGCTGCGGACCTGGGTTCGAATCCAAGGAGATGCATACAAATTTTTTCTGTTTTCTTTTTTTTCCTTTGTTGTCTCCCTTCCTTTCTTTTTTCTTATTTTAGTATCAGATATTATATACTAAATATTATATACTATCTTACGAACATTTCAAGATTGAAAATGCATTTATACGAGTTGAAAAGAATTGAAAAGGAAGATGGTCTATTCTTATATCTCTGTGCTATTACTTCCTCAAATTGGTAGCGCCCTCACTCCAATCCCGCGTGCGCAATTTAAATTTATTTTGTTTTGATGCACTGTTTCTTCCTCTGCTGCTTTGTTCCGACATTAATATAAATTACTTTTCAAGTACAATAAGTTCCATATACAATTCATCCCATTAAATTGTAGAAGGATTAAATTGAAGTATAAAATATTATAAAAGTCATTACAATATAAAAAAATTGTTACATAATAATAACTGCATTAAATACATAATTAAAGTAACGAAAAAACAAAAAACAAAAAATTAAACAGTTATTGTCAGAAAAAATTCTTCATTCTGACGATCCTAAATAATAATTTATAATTATTTTTCAAACAACTGCATAAATTTTGCAATCATTATATGGATTTACTTAATTGGATATTTCTTCCTAAGAGTATTGTAGAACACTAAACAATTACAGTTACCGTTTCGATTCGTTGAATATAAAAAGTAACAGAATGGATATAAAGGACGAATTATAATCTGTAGTACAGATATTGAAAATTAAGTAACAAACAGACCTTGTTGTGGCATTTCAATGTATTGAACTCCTTCGTAGCGGCGATCGCAGAAATGCTTGCATGGACTGTCATTGAGATGTGGTAAAAACGTCAACAAATCCGTACGTGGATAAAAATCGGAACTCTGTTGAAGAATAGCCGGGAACGGTGGCGGTGGAATGTGAAGAATATCAGGCGGAGGTTCGAGTGTGCAAAATGCACAACCAGAATTGTTCATAATCAAATCCAATTCCCTCATCTGTAGATTACATTTAAAAAAATAAAGGATTAGTAATTAATGAGTACTTTATATTATTTTGTGAAATTACGTAGAAATTAAATTGTTTCGACTTTCCTTTTCGTATTTGGATTGGCAAGTAGTTTTAAGTTATTTTTAAATACATTTCTCTACGAGAAATATTTGTTTCAAACAGTCTTAGTTCTATAATTTATGTGGATAATTATTATTTTTAATAAACTTAATATACTATTAACAATAAGTGAAAGTAATAAGTTTTATTCATAATATTTATCTTCGGCTGATAGTTTGAATTTGGGAATTATTGTAATCGAGTAATTTAAACAAATTATAATGATGTCTTATATACAATTACTTATTATCCATATTTAATGACTGTTAATAAAGATAATAATTGTAACAGTAGCCAGTGCATTCACTTCATGTATATTTCGTTTCTTCGTCTTCCTATAAGCACATTAACGTAATATTTTCTATCACATTATATTAATTCTTATTTCACAGAAAAGCACGTTGTGAAATTGTGATGGTACCATAGAGCTTTTATCGTGTAACGTCCTTTAATTCTTAAATACAAACATGCAAGGATAACAGTAAAAAGTAAACTCCTACCGTTGAGCACTACCCCGGGATAAAAGTAGTATGGAATGGCCATTGGCTTCCAAGTAAGAAAAGCGCACGCGTTATTGTATTGAACGGCGGAGAAAATTTCGCGGCCTCTCAACTCGGGTCTGCTCTGCGCCTCTACTAAAAACAATTCCGTTCACGCCTTCCTAGACAAACCACAGAATTTGTTAATTACCAGGTTGAGTCATATGTATCTTACTCGTTTTTCACATTAGTCTATATTAATGTCTGTCGTTATTATATTGAGGTGATACGGATTTATCTGAAAAGATGTATTTTCTTCATCCGTGAAAGAAGACACATACTTATGACTAAATATATTACATTGACAATATACTCTTAAATGCTTACATTACTTTTCTTACTTTATATATTTATAACCATTAATCCAAGAGAACTATATTTAATCTGTATTTTCGACGAACTTGTTAATTTTTGTGTGTATGATTATTTTATATAAGAATGTATAAATACATACGAAATAAACACTAATAAAACGTATTAATGGATCCAAATAAATGCATAATATAGAATAAATGTTGCGGATAAAATAACAATAGCAGCGTGGGTTAGTGTGTAATAAAATCTATAGGCGACGTTAAAAATGTTAATTTTATTCTTTAAATTACAATACATAAATAAATTACAAGAACAGAATAGTTTCAAATAATATTATCCTTTAGTAAGTTATGTCCTGTTTAAATGTACTAATAAATGATGAAAACTGATAATGATAGAAAAGAGTATCTGCAAGTATTTCTATTATTTATATAATCGTGAAATTCAGTGATTTCAAAACGTTTAATTTTCTGTAATAATACAATCATGTCGTTCTAAGGTTAAAATGTATGTACATTTTTAAATCATTTAAAAATGATATGCTGAGAAGAATAATTTTTTAAATTATTACTTAAGTAAAAGAATTAAAAATATAATCTGCTAGTATGTAAATATATTTATATTCAAAATAATTGTCTCCCTCTCTCTAACCACTTAAAGGCCAATAACAAAATAAGAGCTATTTCCTATGTCCACATATTCAATGGTCAATTCGCAGCGCCATTCTCGAATGCGGCACTTTCGGCAATTAATTCGCTTGGCCGCGATGGCGTCCTTTCTTTTCATTCAACACTGGTTTGTAAACAAAATGTAGTTCACTGTTTTGAGAAATTTGGAATGCTTTTGACGATTTGAGCATGGACCTAAAGGACGGTGTATAGGACTATAAAATAAACAGGGGACACTGAATAATTTCTGGGCACGCGCTTAGGTGTTGGGAGTCGCATCGGTAACGTAGATTCTTACGGAACACCCGACGGCAGCTCACACGGATAGAATCAAAGTATGCTTGTGTGGCAGAAACTGTGAATAAAGCAGGGACGCCGGGACGTCGTGGTGGTGGAACCAACTCTCGATTCTGGTTTCAACATGGTTGGGTATATTCAAGCCGAACTCTCGCGTTGTTGCCGTTTTTACCTTCAGCACGGCTAGTACTAGAGTCGGCTGTGATATTAGTATACTTCTATATTACTTCCACTTACTATAGTTATGATATTTATGTATTCCTTATGCATAATTAATAAAAAATACTGTGTATTAGTATAGTTTTATATAAAAAAAACGTTAACTATAACACTGAGCACAAAACTCTATTATTGAAAATAGGACTCCCGAATCCTTCATGAGCGGTGTTGCCACGTTATTCAGCACGGCTGGTGGTTCTAGGTTCTAGGACCCTTGTTCACAAGCCCCTATCACGTGGGTACCATTCGATACGAGTACGTTTGTTCAATACCTACTTGGTATCGCAACCACAAGTATCGATACCGAAACTTCCGCATCGAAACAAAAGTATCGAGTAATTTACTCGTATTTACTTGTTTCGATTCATCCCTAGTTGTGGTGCAGCATTCCTTCTTCTCATTACCCTCCAGGCGCTACCGCCCCTCTAGACCTCAACCTTAGCGATGTGCGAGCAAGAGAGGAGTTACTCCGATGCTATTTCTGTCCTTCGGTCTCGCTTCATCCCTACCATAAGACCGCACAGTCTATTATTTATGTCTATGGTACAGGAATAGGGTATAGAATAGAGATGGCGTGAACTGCTACTTGTGAATCACTCGTGATTCGATATCACGTTCGTTCCCAATCACGGTGATTTTTCACAGTGATTCGTGATTTCTCGTGATCGTTTCTGATCGGTGGAGAAACCTAACAGTTCTTTACACGCGAGACATAATCTGTATATTTTATATTAACGACATCAAAACAAAAATTCGAGTTATATCGTATATATGAAGGAATAATTAGAAACAATGAAGAATAATGAATAAATTAATGGTTATAAATTATAATCTACATGTTACCTACCAAATCATTCTTTTAGAATTTCTTGTTTTTTCTACTGATTTTTACAAACACAAATAGTAATGTAATTCATCGTAAAATCATATTGAATACGTTTTTTTGTTTAAAGATCAAGGACTTACGATCGCAGTGAGCAAATTCACTCGAGATAAAAAAATCGCAATCACGGTCGTAAATGAAGTTAAATCATGACCGGGATCGTGATTCGGTGATCACTGTGATAAATCACCGTTAGTGATTTTGCATGCCATTTCCATGCCATCTCTAGTATAGAATATAAAGTATCAGAAGGTAAACCTGTCAAGTTCTAATTTGAACGGGAAGGATGTGACGTCGTGTCAGCTGATGATGAGATGCTATGATCATCTGCATCTTCTGTCTGCTGCTGTCAACACCAGTCAAGACTCAAGACGCCATTGTTATTGTGAAAATATTCCTGTTGTGTCGAGTTACAGTGTTTATTATTTCCTCTAACTGGTCGTGTCTTGTAATTAATATTAGAATTAATTCTACATCCTTTCATACCGTTCAGTAAACTGAACGGGAAAAAGTATCGTAATGGGTCTTATTTGTTCTACAGCACAGGTAAGAAGACTAAACTGTAAATAATACTGAATCTTACTTTCATGTAGCATCTTTAAACATAGAATCAGCAGTCTGTTAAAATGTTGTAATATATTTAATAAAATCGATGTTTGTCGTCCCTTTTTGCAAACGATATTGTAGATTACTAACTAAAATTATTACTATTATTTTATTGGAATTATGTGAATGATTATCTTCATTTTTATTATATGTACATTTATATTTTAACATTTATTTTATCTTAGAGAAATAACCTATGTGGGGCAATCTTTTTGATTTAATAAGGATGAAATTATAACATGATAAATAAGAAGTATAGGATAGTCTAGGATAATCTATTTATTTTTATCACTTCAGATATTCATTTGTTTCAGCCATGAAAAGAATATAATGAAAACTCATTTTCTTTGTGATAATAATTTGTTGATTACGTAGTAGAAAATATTTTCCTGCATCATAATTTTGTATTTTTGGATTTGTTTAAGATACTTATAAAAAAAATTACACATACATTGTCTTTTTGAAAATCTTGTTCTTACAAGCAATTAATGTATTTTTGTTATATATTAATTCATGTATTTTCTAATACACAGCTTGCTTGCCTGTGTGGTAGCACAGCATGCAGTTTCTGTTGTTCTCAATGTCCATCATGCCGCAATAGTACAAGTACTCGTATTATGTACGCATTGCTACTAATGCTAGGAACTATTGCTGCTTGTATTACATTGGCTCCTGGTTTACAAGATGCCCTTAAAAAGGTACATTTTTAAAAGTGACATCATAAAATTTCAATTCTATTATAATCAAGGATTATGCATATATATCATCTGCTTCTTTCCTTTTTTAGGTACCATTTTGTGCTAACAGCACAAACCATGTTCCATCAACATTCACTGTTGATTGTCAATCTGCTGTCGGTTATTTGGCAGTATATAGAATATGTTTTATCATAACTCTTTACTTTTTCTTGATGTCTGTTATAATGATCAGAGTAAGAAGTTCTCGTGATCCTCGAGCACCTATACAAAATGGGTATAACAAAGTAATATCACACATTATACAGGGTGTCTCACCTAAGACCTAATACCTAAATATTATCTTTATTTTTAAGTATATGAAAAATATTTCAATCACAGTTTGAATAGTTTCAGAAGGGAAGTATTGTACATGGAACATTTTTTTTTATAATCATTATTTTCGAACTTTTTGTAGATCACCAGTATTTGTGCCAGACACTGTGTACCTTTTTGTATTGCATTATGTAGCACGTGTTAAAATGCCTTCAATAATGTATAATTTATGATCTCGAGAGGTGAACTAGGACATTGAAAAAATAACGAAATTCTGAAATAATGTTAGATTGTAACCCACCTCTCTGGAAGACATGAAGAATCGAATGACTACAAGAGATAGAAACAGCATCAGAAACTGTGAATTCTTATTTTAAACAGTGTATCACCACCAATGGACATCAGTTAGAGCATTTGTATATCACTATAATGTAATTGTAATTCTACTATTATTTCAGAATTTTATTATTTTTTCAATGTTCAAGATCACCTCAAGGTAATAGGTTAGACATATTTGAATGCACCTTAATAAGTGCTATATGATGCAGTAAAAAAAAACATGCTGTCTGGCAAAATACTAGCGACCTAAAGAACTTTAAGAAAAAAAATGTTCCATGCACGATACTGCCCTTCTCAAACCATTCAAACTGTGTTTGAAACATGTGTCATATCTTTAAAAATAAAGAAGTTATTTAGGTGTTTGGTCTTAGATAGGACACCTTGTATATCTATTAAAAACTATGTGCTATACATAAACTATGCTTCTAGATTTTGGGCTATTAAATATCTTTTAATAATTGGTGGATTAATTGGAGCATTCTTCATTCCTGAAAAATCATTTGAATCAACATGGATGTATTTTGGAATGATAGGTGGTTTTCTTTTTATTATTATTCAGTTAATTCTTATTGTTGACTTTGCCCACTCATGGGCAGATGCTTGGGTGGGTAATTATAATGAGACTGAATCAAAAGGATGGTATGTATAATGTTTAATAAGTTTATATACTTTTACATTGTGTTTAAATTTAAATGAATCATACTACATAATTACATAAATATGTTAGGTATGCTGCACTTTTAGGAGCAACATTACTTAATTATGCTATTTCTATTACTGGAATAGTATTACTCTTCTTGTATTTTACTCATGTAAGTTTTAAAACAATATTAGTATCTTACACTCTATATTACTATAATGTGTCTTTACTTTATCTATTATCAATTGTAGCCGGACGCCTGTGCTTGGAATAAGTTCTTTATATCGTTCAATTTAATCTTGTGTGTAATTGCTAGTGCTATATCAATTTTTCCAAATGTACAAGAACATTATCCACGGTCTGGACTTCTTCAATCATCTGTTGTGTCGTTGTATGTGGTATATTTAACATGGAGTGGAATTTCAAACAATCCAGGTACATACTTCTAAGCATTGTGTATAGAAAAAATATAGTGACCTTCAAAATCATTTTAGTGATTTGTCAAGTACTTGTCTTTTATTAGATGCAGGGTGCTAAATATATGTTTTCCTACTGAAAAATAGTTGAATGTCCACAAAACCACAATTACTAGACATTATAATCATTTTTTTCTGTATGACATCTGCTGAGTAGGGATATTTAAATCCAATTATTACGATCAAAAAAGAATTACTAATAACATTCCTGAATAGTTTCTCGTAATTTTCAAGGACTCTACTATTTGGCATTCTCTAACGTTTTATAAAGTCATTATATTTGTTCTATCAAATATACAGTAGCCGCTCGTTAATCGGATTCCCTCTTATTGCATATTGCTAACGCCCATCACTCACACATATTTCCTAACATGTGCACGTACCCCACTCTGTCGCCAGAATGGACTACATACGGTGTCGCATTGAACTCGCATATTTCATCACAGAATGTGTGGTGAATATAATATTGTTTTCACAAAAAGATTCAATGTTTTTACATAGATATTTTCAGTCATAATCAACTACACTTCATATCATGTCTACGGTGTGATAAGACATAACTTATTGAAATAGTACAAAGTAAAAGTGAACCAATAATATTGTTTTAAATAATTATTTCTATAAATATTACATATATGTATAAAATATTTTAAAAATTCAACCTGTCTATAATTCTACAACTATTTTAGCTTAATGAACAATTAATTTTTTAAGTGTATGGCTTCAATTCGTTATTTAAAATATTTTACTTCTAAGACACTGTTGAACATATGTATAAAAATATTCATAAATATTTTATTCTTTGTCCAGTGATCTCTAGTGAAAAACATTAACGGATGGTTCTCAATGATAAAGTCATTAAACAATAGGACTGAATATCAAAAATATTACGAAAATTTAATAATCAGTACATCAAAATGACTGATTAGGAGTCAGAGGTAAAATATTATACCTAACAAACTCAATGTAATGAAGTTAAAATATTAATTGTCTATTATACTAAAATAGATAGGTGTACAATTATATAAATAAGATAATGAAGCAAATTTAGTTGTTAATCATTTTGTACGTCACAATTTTTTCCATATTATTCATTATATTGTTTTGAATGTAGAAGAATAAATGAAACTACTGTTCAATTATATCTGCATTCAAAGAAATGGTTCAGTAACTTTGATCATTATGTATGTATATCACAATATAATTCATATTATTTTACATTGTTTTCAGTAAAGAAGGATAAATGCAACTTCTTTTCAATCATATGTGCATTAAAAAACATAGTCCAGCAACATTGATCACTTTAATTATCTCCATTATTTCTACAGATATAAAAAACAGTTTATTCACAAAAGTTATATGGTATGAGAAGGACCATAACATAGCAGAAATAGTTTTGTTATAAGTCGAAAAATAATTAACAGTTTGTGACAAATTTCCTATTTTGTATATAAAATATCTCACAAATTATTAACTTTTTGCAGATAACACCTTAATATTTTATTACACAGAATGTTTAGAAGAATCCATTTACGGAAAACAAATATTTTAGTATCATTAAAGAGAAAACATAGTAATAGTCTTTTCCATATTAAATAATTTCTGTGAATAAACCTTTCTGATATCTTTAAAAATAACGGAGATAATTAAGATGTCCATAAAATGCGTATATCCAGCCTACCCTATATGTGTTGAGTCGCACAACTGAACGACCGAGTGGTGGGGAAAGCGCTCGGGTAATTGGCGCATGTTTATTGCATATTCTTGGAATTCTGGCCATCTACAGCCCCGAAATATGCAATAAACGAGCGGCCACTGTATATACTATATGTGAGATATTTATATTCATTTGTTTTTAATATAATAATTTTCGGTACTGTTGACAGATCATAAATGCAATCCTGGATTCTTACAAATTATTTCTGGTAATGATGCTGATGTACGAAATCGTGTTGCTTTCGACAAAGAAAGCATTATTGGTTTAATTATCTGGTTCAGTTGTGTACTGTATAGTTCTTTACGTACTGCATCTAAATCATCAAAACTTACCCTGTCTGAGAATATTCTGGTTAAAGATAATGGGGCTGGTATGTAAAACAAGACTTTACTTAAATTTGTTACATGTTAATTTGTTGAATCTTGATTTCTTAAAAGTTAAATACCTTGAAGTTATCTGCAGTTGAATATAAGTGTATGTAAATTTAGAGACAAGTATATTCTACAATAGAATACCAGCTGATATACATAATAATAAGGTGACATAAATATTAATTACCGTATATACAGGGTGTCCCAAAAAGATGGGACGATCGACAACATGGATATTCCTCGTGCAAATACAAATGGAAAAGTCCTTTGCGATTTTGTAATCTGATGCTCCATTTCTGTGACATTAGCTGTTACCCGAACTCGACTTAGCAGGTACGATCAGCTGAGCGGTGGGCCACACGTACGCGCTGACACAGTCAAGAAGCAGAGACCAGTGACTTAGTTCGTGCGCTGCTTGACTGCGTTTGCGCGTATATCTGAGTTCGTGTAAGTGCTAATATCTCGGAAACGAAGCTTCATATTACAAAATGGTAAAGGACTTTTCCATTTGCATTTGCATGAAGAATATTCATGTTGCGGATTGTCCCATTTTTTTGGGACACCCTGTATAATTTTATGTATTATGTACAAGATATATTAAGATAAAGGTCTGCAGTGAAGCCACTAATCTCCTATAGATAAGATAGTGTACCGTTAATCACTGGTCTCCTTAAACATGAACTTCTATGCTGTTAAAAACTTCACAAAGAATTGAAAACTTTTATATAAAGAATATGGTTGTTTTGTCAAAAGTATAAAAACGAATTGTGTATACATGTAAAGTCTTTATACTATATATTGATTTGATGCATAAATAATGGGCATTACTCTGTATGAAAACAAAACTTTTTATTTAAACATGGAAACAGTTTATTTAATGAACTATGTATTGTCCATTATGTGCTGTCTAATGTATCACTCCAACAATATTATGATCTGTTTATGACAAATTGTGGTGACAGTGATACAAAAACATCACATTGACAATTCCTATGACTTATCCATCAACCCAATATAATATATGTACATATATAGCTACTTTAAGTACCTGCATACTTTTAAGAGTTTTATTAAATTTTATTAATATCGTATTCAATCTTAATAAATTCGATTTTTATGCTTTCATTATACAGTCAGGAAAGAAGGAGACCAGAGTCTTATCAGTAATGAAGGTAGGCACACCATTACCTTAAACTAAAACTTAAGCTCACTGAATTTATAACAGTCATTCCCAATTCTTTGTTATTGAAAAATTCGTTTCACACTGTAAGCATAGTATTCTGTTCTTACATATGTACTGACGAATCTTTGTTTATCAGTTTTGAGCATGTCATACATACATATATCTTATAGTACTCATCATTTCATACAATTTATACTTGAATACATTTAGATGAACACTTGTACAGAAATACAAAATACAGATGATAACTTTTATCATAAGTAATGTAGAGGATGTTCTATATTGGTGCTTACAGAAAATTATATAAAGTTTTAAATTCAGTCTTCGAATTATTGTTTTATATAGATTAATTTCTGTATTGTACCGCTAGTTAAAGCGCACTCAAGTACATATATAGTAGTAGTTAGCGTGTGCCTGGTTTCATTGCATTATTTTCCTTTTTTTTTTATAAAGAAATGCAAGTATTTAATAATTGATATTGCATTATACTCTTATGTATGCACAATTTTAAGTAATATAATGCTTCACTTTACCACGTTAGTTTCAGTTTTTAATTAACTGTCATGCTACTTGATTACAAATTATATTTTTATTCATTTACAATTTAAAATAAAGTTTATATGTGCATGCATGTAGTAATATTTATTGCAATAACATAATCTTGATAGGAACATTTGATAGATTGATAATTGTACTGTAAATATTTTATTTTGAGTTATTTTGTCCTTTTCCTAAATGTAACCAGATTATACTCCGGTAGAAGGTCGCAATCCTGATTCAAAGGATGGTGACGAAGCCAAAGTCTGGGACAATGAAGAGGATACAGTAGCTTATAATTGGAGTTTCTTCCATCTCATGTTTGCTCTTGCCACATTATATGTAATGATGACACTTACTAATTGGTATCAGTGAGTATTTTTGCTAACATTTATTTTGCAAAATAAAATCATACAGTTTTTATTAAACTTATATATGTATAATAATAATTTTATAGACCAAATTCCAATTTGGATACTTTGAATTCCAATACTGCTTCAATGTGGGTAAAAATCATATCCTCCTGGATGTGTTTGGGACTCTATGTCTGGTCGTTAATTGCTCCTGCAGTATTAACAAATCGAGATTTCTCGTAAACATGTGAATATGTTTGCAAAGTGCCAGGAGCAGTAATTAACAGGTACTGAAATCCGTATAATATAGGGTAATTAGCAATTAAAACATTTGTCAAGTAACTATATAAGTTTTATTATCATTTTTGAGCTTCCATAGAATTTGAAGACCATATGTTTATAAGACACATATTAAACAATGAAATTATTTTAAATATAATTGTGTCTCTAAGAAGCATTCTGTCTGATTACAATATTTAATTGAAAGTAAAAGTAAATAATTATGAAATTAAATATTGTTGTAATTAATGATTAATTAACATAAGTATACATTATTGTAATAAATGACTGTACATTCCATCGTAATTTATCTTCTAATTCCTGCTATATCTAATATATTCCTTAGAATAAGGTTGTTTTGTGCAGATAATAGAAACAAATGTTCTTATAAGTATCTGACCTTGACATTATTTTGTTAATATTAGTTTATGTGTATATTTATTCTATCATTATAATTATTGTTTTATTACTTCCATTTCTATTTAACTTATATTTTTTTTATAATTTCAGTTTTGTAATACTTATATTATTAAAACTTTTGTTGTAACAATATCATCCACTGAAAGGAATGACACCTGTAAGTATCATTTAATACATCGCTACGTTTAATACTCGCAGTGTAACAATTACGCAAAACATTAATTAAAATATGTTTATATATAGTAGCTATAGTGTAATATAATATTATTATATTGCTTAGTGAATAATATTGTTATGAAAATTATGAATGTAAACGAAAAGCTATTATAGTCATTAATATAATATATTTATTATTTCTATATATCTTCCATTTATGTAAAAAAAATTCTTCTAATGATCTATTTGATTTTGTCGTTTTTCTCAAGTTACCACGCATGTAATGCAAAGTTTTCGAAAATATATTATATTTTTTCATTTTTGTGAGATCGTTTTGACTTTTATATTTGGCCTATGTATGCTAGATATTCGATTCCCGCTCAACTCTGGGCTGTCGAGGGCAACATTTCCAGAAACCAGGGTCTGAACGCTTGAATGTATTATTTTGTTAACGCGGACAATACCCTCAAACGGATTGATTTATCAACAAAATTGGTATAGACAGGGAATTTGTGAAACGTAGAACGTAGGTTTAGTACTTCAGTTAAAGTCATTAAAGTTCAGAAACGACTGAGATGGAATTTCTAAATAACCACAAAATCGTATTGTATGCATTCAGTACACAATTTGAAAAGTGTGTGTAGTTTTATAGAAATTGCAAATCAGTAGTTTCCTTTTTTTTTAAGGAACAGGAGTAAAACGATATTTTTTTATTTAATGTTTTGTATTTTGAATATTAATCGCTTCTTTCTCGAATTGTGTATAATTTGTTTCATATGTAATAGGTTTTTCTTTTAAATAATATTATTAATTCGATGACAACATTCCGTTATACATAAGAATATAATTCTCTTTCCTTGCTATCTCATATTGATCTTTTGTATTTTGAGGTGCAGATGGGCATAGTTCTATAAAATAATTTCAGAATTTTTTACATTTTGTGAAAGGGTTCTTCATATATGTAACTTTAATATTTTGAGATTAGTACCCGTTTTTGATGGTTGGTTTAGATATAGTACTGTAGTAGGTTTTAAATACATATTTGATGATTTCTCATTTGGACTGAAACACTGATAGTATACTCGGTAAGTATTAAATACCCTCATAGGGTCCATTTGAACTAATTTTGAGTGCGATACCACTTCAATCCACGTATCAAATCGTTTCTTGTTTTCTGATGATTCAGAAATCTGTCGTGACGATACCTTATCATAACACCCAGGCACACAACAAGAAATATATGCAACCATATTCAATCTATAATACAAAATGTTAAAACATTTACAATATAGTGTAATTAGAATCATATATACCAATCATTGTAATTCTAATAACAATTACACATAGTAGGAACTGATATACAATATTAGGGGTACCAAAACATCATTTCGTTTTAATTGTAATATTTTATTTGTAAATAGTAATAAAAATACATATAGCTAATCTATGATATAATCACTATCATTTTCAATAACACTTTCTCATTTCTCAATAGGTTTTTTTGTAAATAGTAATGAAAATACATATAGCTAATCTATGATATAATCACTATCATTTTCAATAACACTTTCTCATTTCTCAATACGTTTTTTTATTCCCTGTTTATAAAAACTCTTAAGCTTAGAATTTAAAAAGTGAATTTGTGGTCCAAGTAACGGGTGTGTATGAATTACTCGGGAAACGAAATTTACTTAAACTACCGGTACCTTTTATTACTATGTTTACTACACTAATATAATCCTAACTAACGTTTAATCGGTTCGATCAGTGTCCGCTTCGTATCATGTCGCGGCCTCGACTGCCAAAATCCGTTGCGAATCGAAATTCGTTCTTTCGATAACGGCTATATTAACTACAACACTACAAATTAACGCATCTCTGACACTATCATAGTCATTAAATTTTTTCCCTGAAACAAGTGTTGAAGAGATCTAAACAAGTAATAATCCTGATGGTGCAACACATGGGGAGTAAACAGGATGAGGTAAGAATTCCCATCCGAAATCTTTAAGTTTTTGTTGTGTGACTTTTGATGCATGAGGACGAACATTATCATGTTGGATGATTATGCCTTTTCTATTCGAAACTGAGGGCAACTTTGATGATGCAGCTTCACTTAGACGATCCAGTTATTGACAATAAAGGTCTGCAGTAACCGTCTGTCCAGGATTTAACAATTCAAAGTACACCAAACCGGAGGTATTCCATCATACGCAAAGGAGAACCTTTCTTCCGTGTCAATTTGGTCATGGAGTTCCTCTCGGTGGGTCTCCAACAGATAATCATTGTTTCTTCTTATGTGGGTTATCGTATAAGACCCATTTTTCATCACCAATGATGATACGGTCAAGGAATGATTCATTTTTGTGCCTTGATAACAACACTGCAGATGGAAATTCGCTGACATTTTTGTGTACCTGTCAATAAATGTGGAACCCATTTCCCCGCTTTGTTGATTTTACTAGACTTTACCAATTGCTTTTAAATGTTCTTGTGTAGTTGACCAAGAAGAGCCAATTCTGTTAGCAATCTCTTCAATCGATTGCGATCAGTGTCTTTTCTTGGTCGACAAAATCTCGTTTTATCTTTAACTAAAATCACCCTTACGATATCTCGTTAAAAAATATTAATTTGCGAAGCATTTTTAAACGTGTCTTACAACTGTTGCAGCTAGTCCACGCATATACGATGCCGAATGTTCGTTTGCTTATGTATGTCTACAAAGAAATAAATATATAAATATAATTATAATCATAATTGTAATAGTGTATGATAAAATATAAATATTATTGTAAACTTATCTTTTTTCTTGATAGAAACAAATCTATCGCTGGAAATGTAAGATATTACGCGAAAGAATTACACGCGGCGGAAGTACGGCGAAAGAAATACTTGCACAAGCGACTATAATACAATTGTAATTATATAATAACTTCCAAAATTGACCCGCTAACATCTTGGAAAAAACGAAGGTTGATCCTTCTCAATTACATCGAAATAAGAATCAATTGAATACAACAAATAATTTTTGAGATATAAATTCATAAGCACAAGCCATTTTCACGAAAACAATGAAATTCAAAGGGCTGTATTTCTTGAGCAAATTCTTTCTCTTGTGAAATTGTACGATGACACTTCTGCAAAATACATGTGTGTTACTTAGCGTCAATGTCTTTTAAGTGGAGTTGCAGGTCGATACCTTGTAAATCAGGGACCATTGGAAAATGTACAAGGGTTTCTAGACTACGTGCGGTCTTGAAAGGGGGTCTGTTACAAGAGACCAGACAGACCTGGCGTTGCACGGTCGCGGAAAATCACGCTAGGTCTTTCGGCTATCGGTGATCTAGAGGGACGTTTACGTGAAACAGATACGTGAAAGTCAGAGATGGCAAGCAGTCCGATGTTGTGTTGCCTTACGAGTAAGTATTAGGTCGAGTCATAAGTAACTTCCGTTTTTTTATCAGACATTTATTTTGCTCTCATTGAATAACAAAATTATATTAATTTATTATGTATTCACCACTATTATCTATAACCTTCTCCCATCTTCCTGGCAGTTTATCAATTCCTTCCTTGTAAAATGTGGTTGGTTTGGACTGGAAGAAGTTTTCGACAGCCTGCCTGACTTGCTCTTCAGAATTGAAGGTTTTTGGCATTCAAAAAGTTTTGTAAGGAACAGAAAAGGTGGTAGTCTGTCGGGGCAAGATCCGGGCAGTAAGGTGGATGTGGTAAAACAGACCATCCAAGCTCAAGAATTTTTTCTTGAGTCACCCTTGCTGTATGTGGTCGCGCATTGTCGTGTAAAAGAATGACGTTTTTGCGATTGACGAGTGCAGGACGCTTTTCATGGAGTTTCTCTTGCACTCTTTGCAACTGCTGAACGTATCTATCCGCAGTAATCGTTAAATTTGACTTCAACAACTCGTGGTGAATTATTCCTTGACAATCGCACCATACACACAATAAAATCTTTTTGCCATGGATGTTTGCTTTCGGATCTGGTAGGGGTGGTTGATCCTTATCAAGCCACTGTCTTTTGCGGACTATATTGTCATAGGTAACCCATTTTTCATCGCCTGTTACAATCCTGTTTAAAAAAGGCTCAATTTTTACCCGTGAGAGCAGACTTGTGGCGATTGACATGCGATCTTCTTTATTCCGTTCACTGAGATTGTGAGGTACCCATACTCCTAACTTGCTGACTTTCCCTAATTTCTCCAGGTGGCGGTTAACAGTTGATTGTGATGTATTCAACCTTTCTGCTATACCTATTGTTGATTGACGTGGATTTTGCTCCAATATTGCCTTTAAAAGGTTGTCGTCAAAGTCGGAAGGACGTCCCGCCCTCGGTTCGTCTTTTAAGGTCGTATCTCCAGAACGGAATTTTATAAACCAATTTCTAACTGCCCGATCAGTTATTAGTCCTTCACCATATACACTGCATATTTTTTCAGCTGTCGCCTTAGCACTATTGCCTTGTTTAAATTCCCAAAGCATTACATGACGAATATGTACTTTTTGACTCTCCATTTCAGAGGTTAAGAAAAACAGTTTATCGTAACGTGTATCACACAAAACAGTTGAAAAAAGATTAACTGAAGCCTCGTCTATATAGTGAAAACAAAAACTTCTTGTCATGGTAACTCATAGCGGGTAGATACGAACAATAGATTCTACTTAGCTGCATCGGAGTTACTTATGACTCGACCTAATACATTGTTCCTGGAAGATCTAGCTGGTACTCTCGCTGGTAAATTTATGGGACTTCGAGGGTGGTTTCGAGAAAAGCAGTTATTTTACATTGATATTTTGCCCGCTCGCATCCTGCGAGTTGCGTGACGTAGGCGGTCCGCAATCGGAAAACCGTCCCAAATTGTCATCGGCCCTAACATATTCCCACCTAAAGTTTTACTACGGACTTTTGGGGGTAGAAGCAGTAATGCTAGAATCGTGGAACTTGTTTCCA